CTTCTTTTAAGGGTTTTGCAACAGGGCTGTTGCTTTAGAGCTCTCATGTCAACTGTATAAACTCTGTGCTGCCGCTAAAGATGATGACTAAACATTGCCTTTTGAGATTTAAAATATAATTAGGCTAACGAAAGACCTCAGTTGGAGAGTGCTTCACATATTACAATGCTCATGGAAGGCGCTTCTCAGAACCTTTCTCAGTACCGGCACCCTCCCCCCCACCCCGACTTTGGAAAACTCTTGTGAAGTTCTAGAGGCAGAAGATTAGACATCCTTTATGTGGAATTTCTATTCCTCAGGAATGTTATTTAAGTTGTATTTTGGTACTATGCTTCTGTTGGTGATCTTTTTCAGCTTAACTCTGTTTTTTGTTTTTTGTTTTTATTAATAATTCATGGTCAGGACTGCAATCTAGCCCTGGTCTTGTTTTGGCAGCAAAAATGCAGCTTCTCTATCCCCTATTTTCAATTACATAGTCTGTCTGATTTCTGTATTAGCCTTCTGGTGAAGTCCATATGTACAATCATCTAATCATTGCTTGAAGTTTATATTTGTACTAAGCAGATAGTTGGTGTCACATAATTCTATGAGTTATTTGCATACTTTGTTTCTGACCCCTCAGCAAAATTCTCCCATAATATTGGATTTTGCTTTGTTTCCTGCTTTTGTATTCCAGTCACCTACGATTACCTGCATGTATTACTTTTAATATGTTATCAGTTTCCACCTGGACATTCGCATAAAAGCTGCCAATTTTCTTATTTTGAGGATCTGTTGTTGGAAAAAGGCTTACATGATAGTTGTATTGATAGGTTTTCAGAGAATACAGATTGACATTACTCAGTCCAACTTTGTATTTTAGCCACTTACAACCTGTGCTCCATCCTGCCTCCGTATTAGATCCATTTAATTTCTTCTGAGTTAGAAATTTCCAGAGTAAACCTGTTGTGTTTGTCTGACTAAAAATGCCGCATTCCAGTCCACTTTTGCTCACTCAAACCAAATACTGCTGTACTTGGATTGTTTTATAGGATTTTCAAGGTAAGACATATCCAAAGTGGTCTCCCACCGCCACCTTCTGCACAGCGCTGCCCAGAATCGGGTTAAGCTTCACTGCTGTTGCCTGTGAAAGATCTGCTGCCAATGTCTCCCTTGACTACTGCTGCTGCTGCCCTGTAGCTGCCCTTCAGAAGTTGCTCAGCCCCCATCAGCATGAGGGACATCCTTTCCCTTCGCCGATGGGAGCATCACCCCCAGTTTGCTGCCTCCGTTTGACCAGTCCGCTTTGGGCGAGCCTGGTAGGAATCCAACCTGTGAGAGGGTGTGGCTTTCTGGCAGAAATGCTTTTGGCTCCTCTGACACTCCCAAAGCCTCTCAGCGGGTTTAGGTATGCACCTGACTCTTGTACGTGGAGCTGCCCATGGCTGAACCTGAGGCTTTCTGTGTGCAGTGCAGGTGCTCTGTTACTGAACTAATAAACATGATTGGCTTGAATGGCATAAGCTCCTGGCCACACAGGGAGTTCAGACAATGATGCCGGGCTGGGCAGGGCAGGAGCGAAATCTCTGAACAGTCCAGTAAGGACATTTGATGACATTATGAAATCTCTGCGTGACAAAATAGAAAGGAGGTAAAGGGAAGTATTCAACTTTAGAATTCTGCTAAGATATGATAAACTTTGCTCATGACATTATGTAATCTGATTACAGTAGACTGACCCTGGGCAATAGGTTCCAACCCCCCCACTCCACCCCACCCCACCCCCCAGCGGATGCCTGAAACCATATCAAGCACATTAAACCACATTTATTTATGATTGTGAGCCGCCCCGAGGCTTCGGCGAATGGGGCGGCATAGAAATTTTCTAAATAAATAAATGCTGATATATGCAGTATTTTTCTGAAACATACTTCATGGTCGCTTGTTCCCCATTTTTGTTTTTTTGGAATGGAGTCAGCCGTGATTAAGTGAAACCACGGTAGTTGAAACAGCGGGTACAGGGGTCCTACGGTATCAGCCTTAAGGCTGCTTCTCTCTGGTGTAAGCACACCTTTCACATTAAAAAAAAGCATGCAGCTCTCATATAGAATAATCTTTTTCATGTTTTTTTGTAAACCATCCAAAGACTTTAGTAGTGGATGGCATATAAGAACTTTAAACAAACAAACACACAATCTCATGCATGGGTTTTGCAGCGGCCGCACCGTTCTGGCCTGGGGAAGTTACTGTTTATAATCGGCTTAGCAGGGCCCAGTGCAGATAGCATCCCTGTACTGCAGTTTCCCCCAACGTGGCGCCCTCCAGATGCGTTTGACTGCAGCCCACATCCTTTGCAGCCAAGCTGGGGACTGGGCGGGGGGCACGACGTTGGTGAATGTCGCTTTATCAGGCATTTCCCATCGTTTCCTGCCATACAGTTTCCAGGCTATCCATACATTGCCCTGGGTGCGTTGGAAGCACACAGTTCTCAGTGAAGATTTCAAGTCCCTGCTTGCCTTCTCAGATGCCACCCCCAAGGTACACATAAAGGGTTTCAGTGGGAGAGCGCAGAGGTTACTTGGTCACGCCTGTCTCTGCCTTTCAGACTTCCAGCCACTCCTGCAAGGCCTTTATCCAGAGCTCTCCAATTCTTCTCCCCACTTTTGCAGCCTCCTAAAAGCAGAACTACAAATGGTTTATCAGGAACAGCAGGTCATATGGCTTGTGATATAATCTGATCTTGCAGCGATAATGAAAGCATACATTCGTTGGGGTTTATCAGCTAACATCCTGCCACAGCTTGACCGCCAGACAAGGTTTTCACAGATTTGTTCAAGCGTGTATGCACAAAACAAGAGTGGAAACAATGAAGAAATTTGCTCGTTAGAGAAAGGTGCTTGGGAATGGCTAGGAACCTGCTTGCATTTCTCAGGAGCCTCCCAATATGTGAAGAATTGGCAGGAAATAATGCACGTTCACCAAACTTCTGCTCTTTACTGGGAGGCATGGACTGTGCTTTTCTTCAAGCTGCTCTCTTATTTTCCACCCAATTTTCAAAGCACATCCATATGAATGCATATTTTATGTATATTTGGCCCACAGGGTAGATGCAACCAATCTTCTTTTCATCACTGGTGAAATTTAACAGCAGCAGTAAAGGATGGGGAGCTGTTTGTGTATTTCATCCCTGCAACTAAGTGTGGCTTACCAAGGTTAAAACAAATCGTGGAATGCTGTTTCACCAGTTCACCTTGACATCCAATTTCTTCTTACCTTTAAGGCTGAATATATTAATCACATTTTTCCTCATTAAATGGCTAATCAGAGGGTTGATGTGCAAATACCACGGGGAGTATGGGGGCAGGAAATCAGAATAATGGGGCCTAGGAAGAAAGGAGTTAATTTGTGCAGATCACATTTTAACATGAAGCTGCCGAATTCACACTTTAGTTTATTTATTCATTTAAAACTTTTCCATACCATCCCTTACTGTGCAAAGCAGTACAGATACCTAAACTCAGTTATCCTTTGATATGCGCACTTCTATGAATTTTGCAATGCTGTTTTTATGTTGTTGTTGATATTTTATTATTTTATTTTTAATTATGTATTTTATTATGGTAAAGTGTTCACAAACATGAAAACAACACTCAGATAACAAAAATGCATACTGTTAGGGAAATCACACACAGAAATGTACATTAGTGAACATGTGTGCAAAAATGCATATGATTTTTTGTGGGGATTTTCAAAAGAAATTAGGAAACTGATTCAAAAACAAGATAGAATTAACGTAAGATTGGAAAAATGAGAAAACAAAATGGACAATTCATCCATACTGAATGCATTAATCTGCAGGGTATGCTGTTTTAATAATATCTTAATATTGTTTATTAGAAACAGAAAAAAGCAAGTCAGAAGGGATCTCTCAGGTCATCTAGTCTGACCCCCAGCTCCAGCCGGCTTCTCTCATGTAATCCCCAATATAAATCATAATTCACTTTTATTTAGTATTGAAAGTTCTTCATATCTATAAGGTGAAGTAAACATGTGGCCTTCTAGATGCTGATGGCCTCCAACTCCGATCAAGCCAAGGCAGCATTGCCAGAGATGAGGGATGATGGGACTTGTACTCTAACATTTAGAGAGCCACCTGATATGTCATCTATGAGTCTATGATCTCCTTACCCTTTAACACTTGCCTGTTAGGTAGCTCTGTAGGATTACCCCCTTTGGAGCTCATCTGCTCCTGGGGCATCCAGAAAGGTACCTTCATTTCTGGATAGGAATTCACTGAATGTTAGAGCCTTCTCAACAATTGCCCTGGCTCTAGAAGACGACCACTGCATGGCTTTTTGTAGCCTTATTTCCACATCTGTGGACCTGTTACTGCTCTCCTAAGCTTGAAGCACCAGGTAGAACACATTTTTAAACTCTGCTGGCTCCGATGATGAAGATCATGGTGATGGTCATGACATTCCATTTATATCGCTCCTTTTTCCTCTTTGGAGGAACTCAGGGCATCTTACCTAGCTCCATTTCATCCTCACAACAACAACCCTGTGAGGTAGGCTAGGCTGAGTGTGAATAACTGGCCCAAAGTCACCCACTGAGCTGCATGGCCAAATGGGGATTAGAATGCAGATCCCCCAGGTCCCCAGTGGAACTTTCTAACCACCTTGCCAGCCTGGCTGTCTATATTGATTTTAAAGTTTTACTGCTTTGTAGGGCAAAATAGGAAGTGACCTCATTGTGAATCAGGCCATCTAGCTCAATATTGTCAACTCTGACTGGCAGCAGTTCTCCAGGGTCTTCAGGCAGACAGCAACTTGGAAGGATCCAGAGATCAAACCAGGAAGCTTTCTTGCTGCATAGAAAGTGATCGCCTTTGATCTGCGGGTCTTCCCCTTTGAAATGCCTATTCTTCACAAACACTTCAAGTGCAATATTATGCTGTGTTGTGCATTCTCTTGTTAATATGCATGCAGTATATTAACGCTGCTGTTTCACTATGTTTCCAGAAAACATTAAACCAAACAGTACTTCAGCCACCACCATCCCTAGAATTGCAACAACCACTACACACACCCGTTCTGTGCCTTCGGATGTCACAGCCACCACCATCAAAACCATGGTGACCACAACACCCATGAACACCACAGCATCCAAAATAAAACCCACCTCACCAGCACGCAATGGGACCATGTTGCCTTCCACTCCAGTGACAGGTACGTGCTGATCTTTCTTTTCCTAATGCAACCCAGTTGTTCCACCTGGGTTGCACCTTCCTTTTGCTGCTTGTTTGGAAATATCCTTGGAGTGTGTTCTCATTCTTAAGAAGTGCTAGGAAACAGCCAGCCCAGAGTTTCAGTGATGAATACTTGAATGTTACAAAGATCATACCAATATTTGTTTTAGCATCTGATGGCTCCAAAACAGACTGTGGATTCCCTGTTCTTGGGGTGATTTTAGAATACAAAGTGTGGTTTACACATTAGAACAGCTTTCCTCAACCTGGTACTCTCCAGATGTGTTAGTTTGCTCTTCAAGCAGTTTAGCCAATGATAGGAGTGACAGTTCAACCATTCTGGAGGGAACCATTTTGAGAGAACCTGAACTAGGGCATGTGAGAAAAAGAAGGGAAGAAGATGAGGAGTTTGAAGATGGAGCCCTATGAGGAAAAGTTTAGCCAAGAGAAGAGCCAGTGAAGAAATGATGTGACAGTAGCCATGTCCAAAAATTTGAAGGGCTGTCACAGAGGTGGTAGAGCAAACTTGTTCTCCAGGAAATGGGATGCAAACTGATGGGTTCAAATAGAAGGAAAGGAGATTTCAGCTAAACATTATGAAAAATGTCCTGGCATTATCAGCTGCATGGCCATGGAATGGATGAGCTTGGATGTCTGTTGAGCCCAGTGATCACAAATATGTTTTGCATGCAAAGGAACCCAAGCTGAATCCCCAGCATCTCCAAGTTGGAGTGTGAAGGTCTTCTGTCTGAAATCTGGGAGGGCTACTGCTGATCCATATAGTCCAAAAGAGAGGAACCTCAAGTGAAATCCACACTTCCTGGGATCCCCAGATGGCCATGCCCTTCTGGTCCCACCATCTTTCCACTAGCCACCAATGATTTGGTGGTTTCCTAGCTGTTGTGTGTTATTTTCCTCATTCTAAAAGGTTGAGTTACTGGCAGTAAGAGCCTTAAGCTACAACGTGCTGGTATTTTGGCCCTGCCCCTTTGTCTTAGACCCCACCCACCACTTGATTATGGCTCTCAGATGCATCCCCAAGACTGAATTCTGATCCAGTTCAAGTCAGATTCCTACATTCCTAGTATACACAGAAAGTGGAGAAGTCTACTAAGATTTCTTACCATGGACTCAGTAGAAAGATTCAGCAGAGGCTGCAATAGATAACATTAAGATTGGTAGTTGCTGTGGTGCTTTTCTGAGAAGAAGACATGAACTGATCCTAAATGAAACACAGAAGTAGCAAATTGTCCCCTCTCGGGTAACCAGAGAGGAGTGCCTCCAAAGGCACATTGGGGTTGAACTGCACCATGGCAGAAAATAGCAATCTTAGGAAGATCTTCAAGAACTGAATTTTACAAATTCAGTCTGCAAAAGTAAGTGAGGAATTGCCTGAAAGGCAAACCTTGCCTAGGCTACCTGAGCAAAGAGGCTTTGGAGAATCAATTCAGTAGAATTGGTTTTATGAGAATTGGTTCTGTGACAAGGGGAGAGGTTTCGTAGCAAGTTCCTTCATGCTCATCAGTTATAAGTCTTTAGCAAGATAAATAAAATAAAAATAGAGATGTGAGAGGACATGAAACTGCAGCTGAGATGTATAAACGTTTGTGCATCTTTGTGTCTCCTTTTTTTTAAGTCACTCCAAAAGCTGTAGCACCTCAAGCTGCACCATCAGGATTCAGCGCTGGCAGTTTCATCGGCGGCATCGTGTTGACACTGGGACTTCTGGCCATTGGCTACATTGGATGCAGAGCTTACCATGCAAAAAGGGGCGTTCAGTACCGAACCATGTACGTATTATGTGTGTGTGTGTGTTGGGGGTGCCTATTTGTTGACATTCCTTTCTTAATCATGAATTTGACAAACATGGCATAATTTTGAGCAGCTTTTCGAAAATGGGAATCCTTCCTTTGAAACTGAGTTCTTTCTTCATTTCACAAATTCATTATTCTGTCCCAGCACAGAGGCCATGGAAGCACTGAGGTGCTAGGAACCTGTAGATGTGTAAGGCCTGTGATTACTAAACAAATAGGTACAGCATGTGACAGTGCCAGCACCCACAACCTTCCTGACCTATTGGCCTACTAATACAAAAATACAGCAGTGTAATTAATGGTGATGAAACAATGGAAGATTCTGTTCCGCACTGAATTTTCTTTGTACTGAATGTGGAATAGCTAAGCAAGTTTTCAGGATGATAAGCACAAAGTCAAGATAAAAGCACGCTGAGAGATTTGCATGGATGATACATTTGGCACAGACTTTTATGCAAATAGAGGTGAGCATCTGGACCTCCATCTGGCAATGTTCTCGTGTGCAGCAGCGGGGAATTCCCCGTTGTTCTCTCTGACCTCTGAGATAGCAGTGGGAGAAGCTGTATGTGGCAGGTGCCAGGTTCAGTCGCAAGCATCTCCAGGTAGGGCCGGGGGGGGGGGGACTCTTGTCTGAAACCATGAAAGCCCATTGTCCCCCAACCTTGTGCCTTCCAGATGATTTGGACTCTGGCTCCAAGCCCTGATCCATGGATCATGCAGTTTAGGCTGATGGGTGTTACGTGCAATGTATCGGAAGGACAGTGGGCTGGAGACAATGCTGAACTGGACTGACTTGGGAGAAGGCAGCCTCTGTGCTTCTGCCCCCTGCTGCCCCAGTAGGGCCCAGAAGTTGAGTGGTGAATCCTGTTTACGCCATGCAAGTATCCTTCCCCAGCAACCCAGGAATGCTCCTGGGCACAAGAACAGGCCCCACGCTGGAGCTGAATGTTCCTGCAGGGCAGGCTAGGTTCCGTTCCCAGTGCACAAACACCAAATGTGCCTCTGAACTGTACCATGACCCTCACACTGTCGCTAGGAAACAAGTTCTTGGTGGCCCTGCAACTCTGCTTGCTTTCATCCCATTTTATTCTATTTTATTGTTATGCTCAAGATGCACACACCCTCATATCAATGGGAATAGTGCATTGCTAGACCCTTTGTAGTCATTCCTAACAATGAGGGCTCTTTTGGGTTTGATCTGCAATTACTTCCTCTGACTTGCTTGATTAGGTGCTTGTCAACATCCCCTCTTTTGAAGTATTTCGGACCCTTGCTGATCCCCTGCCCTTTCTCTTACTAATCAACAGCAGACTTCCATGCCGCCTGCTGCTGTTCGCAAAACATCCACCTTACATATAGCACGTAGCATGATCTTAATTCTGAGCAGCATTTTACTTTAACCTTCAAACAAAGATCCACTCTTCTGTTCTGGATTGTTTCCGACTGCTAGAGTCTGCCCTAGTCCCAGAATATCACAGTTCTGTTCAGTGATCTTTCTTCATTTATAACCATCTTTAGTAAAATGGAAGAATTGGTATGTGATAAATATTGTTGGCATTTCCTTTCAGAACGGCCAGTCACTATTTTATTTTTTCATTTGTAAATTCCCATATGGTCATAGACTCCAATTAATGTAAGGAATGCACTGCCAGATGTATGGTTAATTTTGGGATTCATAAGTCCTTGACAGTTTAGAAAGTCTCTTGCTTCTGACTGCAATAAATCCACTATATTATGTGACCACACACACATTTTTGACCTGTTTTCATTGTCCTGTGTCTTCATTTTATTTTAAAAAATTAATCTTTAAAAATCCTATATCAATTCACTACAAGAGGGATCAATTATATAAAAGTTGCAGCCTTGAGTATACAAGAGCTGAGCTGAGCTGTCTTGTCCTGCTTTTATTTCTTATTGCACACATTAAATATCTTATCCCTGATGTATTGTTTATAGGTACAGAAGTATTGGACAACTGAGTTCTGAAAATCTGAGAGCCATTCCAAGAGATGATAACTTTCCTTGATTTAAACTAGCACCTCACAGTATGGTGCCCTTCACATGCATTGGCCTCCAACTCCCATCAGCCCTTGAGCACAATCAGACAGACAATGCATGACAGTCTGAAGAGACATGAATATATGAATAGGGTGGTGCCCCCATCAGGGTCTGAACAGCACCAACTGATTCCCAGTGAAGCATTTGTTGGCTTGCAGCCTGAAACAGGCAGGGGAGGGCTGAAAAGTGGAGACAAAGGGAAGGGGGAAATAAGCATAATCTTCCCTGGTATCCTGTCGCCAAGGTCAGCACCCATGGTACTTTTGTCTTCACAACAACCTTGTGAGGTTGATTATTGAGAAATAGCACCTGGTCTAAGGTCACCCAGTGAACTTTATGGCTAAAGCAGATTTGAACCAGGGTTCCCAGCCCTCTGTGAGGCAAGCTGCAGTATGATTATTGTTGTTACTGTTAAACCTTTTTATTTTCCCAATGCTTTAGGATTTGATGGTTTTAATATGGGTTTTATTGTGATCGGTTAAGATTTTGACTAGGATGCGGTGTTTTATTCTATTTTGTCTTATCGTTAAACCGTCCTGAGACCATGGTATGGGACAGTCTAAAAAAGCTTTAAATAAGCAAGTGAGTAAGTTCTTTGTTGGTCATCTGCTACTGCTCTAAATTCAGCCTTTAATATTGCTGATTGTACATGAATTTTCTTTTTCCAGTGATGAACATGATGCCATTATTTAAAGTCTCAGCTTGAAAGACAAATGGTGAAACCTCCACTATGACCCCTGTCTTTGGAACCCCCCTCTGTGCCAGATGCAGGCCTTGATGAAAAATTGATCACAGCCATCACAAGATGCTTAACTCATTTGTGATCTGTGCCTGTCTGCAAGAGTCCAAGGGACTCCACGAGGATTCTGAATACTTCACAGTGTCTTGTGTGACATATAGATATTCTTTGGAACACAACTGGTACCTACTGAGCAACCACGTCTTCTTGGAAAGAGCTTAATAAAAGGATGCTGCCCAGGTAGCTGGTCTGCACAGAAGATTAGAAGGCTCCATTCTCTAACGGAACCCAACTTCTGATACTGTGTGGTGACCACACTTAATTTTGCCACTCCGTAAGTTGCATGGTAATTTTGTAGAACACACTGGACCAATAACAAGATCGTTTTCAGAAATGGTGGATGGATCCAAAACCAACTAATTTCAAATTGTTTGCATTAGATTTCTGGAATGAGGTTGTTGAAGGAGGATTTCTTTTGTTTGTCAATAATCTGGAGAATTTCAGACATTGAATACTTCTTGTTGATTGTTTAAGAAAATATTTGTCTACTTTCTAAAGCCAAAAAGAAAAAGAGATGAGAGAGAGAGAGAGTGTGTGTGTATATCAATGTTGGGTGGCAGCAGGCCTTGTATTGGATCAGAGGATGGGAATTGTCTTTACTATTATTTGTTTTCCATTTGGTATGCCAATTGTGTACCAATCTCTGCTGGGTCTGAGGCATATTTTGAGTCTTGGAACATGAATCAAATTGTTCTGACCCTGCAGGCAAATTCTTGCAATGTTATCCTGTTCCAAGTTCAGAATTGGCACAGCTTTGAGAGTTTGGTGGCGTAAAAACAGTCACTCAGCTGGGTCTTGGAATGGTGGAAAACACTTAGTCTGAGTTCACTTTACCAGGCATAAGCCCGCAGGACTTCATATGAATTGGGTCTTATGCAGTGGACTATGTGTTGTCAGGTTGCATAACACAGACAACTGTGTGATGGTTTGATTGTCTGTATTCATACTTGTATGTGTAAAGTGCAAAGGATGTTGGGGAAAGATTGTTACGACGTTTCCTCTGGGAATTTTAACAACTTGAATATATCACTTACTTCAAAAATGTGAACTGGGGAGAGACAGCAGGCTTTTAAAAAGATAATTCATTGTTGAAAGAGGCTTTGCTTCCCATGGTGAACACGAAGAGGTGGGCAAAGGTAGATCTGGACCTTTTTGGTAGATCTTTGGGTGACTTGGAGAAGACCAACAAGGGTTTCTGACTCCCAATTGTTTAACAACAACAAAGAATTAGTTTCCCCCTCTTGGCACCCCATTCTGAGCTATACTGCTGAAATCAAGAAGACTTGGGGTAACCACAAGTATATTTTTCTGTGGAAGGACTGTATGCGTCGGTTCTGGTCCTCAAAAGAATTTCCTGGGCTCAGAATTCTTCCAGTGTATGCCTTTTGCACAAGACCTCAGTTGGTGGTTTTCTCAGGGTTCTAAAAAAAGCAAAGATTCTGCAAACCTGGTGGTGTGCACATACATTTCTCCAATTTTGCCTCTGTACAAACATGTACTTTGTCTTTTTTTAATGACAGAAATCTTAAGGGAAAAAATGACCAGATGTAAAAGTGGGATGAGTGTCCACCCATGCACAGTGATTCCTCTTTCAAAGTGCCTTCAACACTCTGGGGGAAAAAATCCATTTTCGGTCTTCTTTTATTTCTACTGAGGAGTTTTATGCACTGTTCATAGGCTGGGATAAGTAAATTGTACTGTAGTGCCATTCAGAGGCTCTTGTTTCCTGCTAGTACCTCTGCTTACTTTCTTCAGGACCTCTTCTTGGGCCCCCAAGTATAACCAGATTTCTCTTGCCCACACACACACGTGACTTGAACGCAAAGTGTGCTTAATATTTTCCGTACTTTCCTTTCTTTCAAAAATGGCTGTAACTTAATAATCCTTAAGTTATTTTGTAATCAGAGCAAAGGCAGTGATGTCAATGACTCTTTTATTTCTTTAAATTTGGCAGAGTATTTCGCTGTTGTGCTTGTTCCTTCGCTTGCTGTAATGTGGGCATTCCTTGGATGGTCCCTGGGGACCTCATGGTGCAGTGGAGAAAGTTGGAGCATGTGTTCAGGGGAGGGGCAGGTTACCATCTTCAAGCAGAATAATACCTCCTCCAATTTACACATATATTCCAGATATGAATCCTGGGGATTTTAGCACCTCAGTTTCACACAACTATTTGTTTACTTCAAGGCACAAACCCCATTATTACTGGAAGTGCCAGTCACAATGCCTCTTCTCTCCTATTCCACAATATCTCTGCTAAGATGTAGCCCAAAAGTGTGATGTTCAAATGCATTTTTCCCAGATGTGAAGAGACAAGGTCATATATGTAGATAGGACTGCAGGGTATAATCCTTGCAGCCAGTGATGGAAGTGGATTGAATGGTTTTCTGTAGGTCCTGTAATGTTTTGCCAGTATTCCATTCCTATCTCTTTTTTGCCCATTTTCACTGCTTCTTATGTAAGGGTTCTATCAGTTTCATGTTGGAGTCAGTTCTGCTCCTGTATGTAAGATCTGTCAAATTTACCACAAAACAGAGATGGAGGGAGATAATTTTCAACACTTCTTCCTGGCAGTTTTCTATATCCTTTTATACAGGGATGATTTTAACCACTTCCCTTCATGAAACTGAGGCTTTAGAACTCCTCATACAAAATAGCACAATTTCCAACAAACGCCCTCAGTGGAGAAGTATTTACACAATTAGAGGCAAAGAAAATGCAGTTGGTTAGTTACTAAAGGTCCTCACACAACAGGTAGTTCTATGAAAATTAAGCACCATTGGGATGGAAATGTCCACTGAGGGTCTCACAGTGAATTCTTTGAGATCGCACATGTACCTTGCAGCCATTGCTAAGGGCAGGTACTCTCATCTTGACAACAAATATCACCTTAATAAAAGGCTGGCATTTAATTATTAGGGCTTGGATC